AAATCATGATGGTATAGGGAAAACAGAAGGATAAACATTGACGGGGTGAGAGAATTTGAAAGGTAGAGCAAAGGAACGGGTGAAAAACATGGAAGCTACGTTGCGGCAAAGGGGGCTAAGTTATCTGGGGAGGCATGCAATGAGATCTACCGTATGCAATGTACATGCGGTATGCGCTTCGCGCAAGATTGGCTAAAAACCGTTCCGCAGAAGATTTCCACAGGGGCGAGGCCCGGTTAAGCCTATGCGACGAGTGGGAAATGTGCGTTTGGAGTCCTGCATGTAATAGGAACCGATCGACTTATGAGTGAACACTTTCTTTTTCCTTCCAGACGCTGGATCTGTAGGAGCATCAATAGCTATATGGACATTGTGCGGATTCTGGTGTGGAATAGGCGCCTATATCTATGCCGAACTTGGATCGTTAATTACAAAATCTGGAGGAGATTATGCTTACATTTTTGAGGCGCTTGGGCCTTTTATTGGTTTCCTTCGCCTTTGGATCGATAGTATGGTGGTAAGGTGAGCTGATTCAGCTGATGAAAGTAAGCAAGCTAAGGCCATATATTGCATCACTCAAGAAACGAAATTCTTCTTCAGTGTCCCTGACGGGTGGCAGGGATTTTGAAGACTAACTGCGGAGCACTGAACTTGTAGTATTAATAACGACTTTCTCCTGAAGAGAGCAGTGACCCACGGGGTAGTTGGACCGTTTTGGAAATACTTCTGATCTGATGACGAGAATCACGATTTTGAACAGGGATCTGTTGTAATGCTTCCTGCAAGGTTAGAAGCCCCTTTGACTTCTTCGTTCGTGTAAAGAGCGCAGATCCACGGCCGTACATATTCCGCCATCCTCGCCATCCGAAAACGCCTGGGGAAAGGTTCCCAGCGATCGCGATGGTCGCAACTACGTCCATTCTATGTATGAATGCTCATGCCCATGGAGAACGACTGCTACGTATCTGAAGCAGCTGGCCCAAGATGATCAAACAGTAGCAGATCAGGCCTTTATACGAATAACAACAATAACAACACATACGGACATATAGCGTAGTTCGCTGCGGACGGTTGGGCGTGTCAGGCGGGATGAGTTTGGCGCGGTGCCAAACCCGTTCTCCACCAGTTGTTAAAGCGAGCAATGATATGACTGTATCATATCGTTCGTATTACTCGTTTTCTACCACTTTTTGTCGCATGCGCGCTTCAACAAGAAGGCAGAGAACGGCTTGACGGCGTGACACACTCATACTGCCTGACACTTCCAACCGTCCTCAGCGAACTAGAGTGTATTTACCGTTCTCTCAATTTAGACCAGTTGCTGTAACCGTGAAAGCTCTCACGCTTGCACTCTATTTGATCCATCCATTCTATCAGGACTGTGATCCACCACCATACAGTGTAGAACTGCTGGCTATAGCCACGATAAGTATGTACAATTCCGTTTGCTATTTGAAGCACGATAAGCAAGTTTGGTATCATTTACTCCCTGCTGCCTAGTTTTCAAGGTTAGGGGTCGAACTTTTGATTTTCTGGTAGTTTGCCTAGGACCAAAAGGGTTGTCTGACCCCCTGAAAACGTATATGTATGCGCCTGTCACGAAAGCGCCTGGTGTCAGTGCAGATACTCTTCGGACCACCCAAAGAATAGAAGACTTGTCCCAGGGGTGGTTTATCCCTCCCCCTCAACCATGATTATCGCATTCGCTCGGCGCAATTTCGCCTAGCACACTCTCTGACAGCTGTTTGAGGACGGCGTCTGTAACGCTAACCCCAGGTGGTTTCAAGCCCAGCTGAGTGCAAAGGCAGGAGAGGGGGGGCAGGCCGAAGAACTGACTTGTCGACGCCTTGGTTGGGTTGCAATGATCGGCAAGGGCGCGTTTCCTGGTCCCCGGCCACTCCCGGTGGGTATGTGACAAGAGAATCGTGATTCTCCGCGCTGGTGGCGTCGCGTGCGACGTCGCGCCCGCAAATGACGATGGTTCCAGGTAGTAGATGGCGACAACAGGCAATTCAGAACCGAAAATAGTCATGAATGTCTACGATGACGGGTCTACATGAAGTCCGGTGCTCCAATCGACAGGTTAACACGAGTTAAGAAAACGCCGCGCCCATCGCCGCGCGCGGCAGAGCGGCAAATTACGACCCTCTTGCCCGTCTCCCCTCCCTGGCAGGCGCGACTGCACGATGCATGCGGCACGGGATTGCCAGTTATTGCGACTAACTATTAATACCCACTGTCGCTCCCGTTTCTCGCAGACATCCGTATCTTTCTAGTGGTTCTCTGTGGTATAAACTGTTATTCGGTGAAAGCTGTAGCCAGACTTCAAGACTGGTTCACAATCGCCAAGGTGCTCGCTCTACTAACGGTTATCTTGACTTGGTGGATATCTGCTCATTTTCGGTAAGACCCAGGCTTTTGTTCTCTCATAAAGAGCTTCAGGGAACGTGACATCAGATTCGGTTTGTAGCCGGATGAGTTTGCCTTTGTATTCAGAACAAATTCACAGAACAATTGCCTGAATCAAAAAGCGAACAGGAAGCGGGGCTGGAGTTGATGCTGGGAAGAGGGGGAGAACTCTTTTCAAAGAGATTCCAACAGAATTTCGTGACCGTTGGAAGTGAAACAGTGCATACTGCGTAAAAGGTGTTATCAAGGGCGTAGTTGAGAGCATGACGACGACTAGGAAGCCCACACGAAAGGGATGCAGACACAGTCTTACGTAGTCTTGTGTAGTCTTGCTCGCTTCTTACGGCGTCAGGGAGTCGAGTTTGGCTTGGCGCCAACCCGTTTTCCATCAACTGTTGTCGAAACAGGGAGTGTGACATTAGGTTCGGTTTATAGCCGAGTTCGCTAAACGACACCTGCAAATGTGTGATTTGAAAAAATAGGGGGAGGGGAGAGAGCCCCACAGAAGTTTTCCAGGGGCTTGTATTGGGTTGGATTGAAGTGCACAGGCTATATAAACTAAAAAGGGGCATTACCACGAGCCCAATTGCGAGACGAGTGCGTAAGCCCAGATGGAAGAATTGCAGATACTTTCTCGCTCCAGAGCTACTACGTCGTAGGGGGCTGAGTTCGGCACGGCGCCAGCCTGTTCTCCACTATTTGTTGTCACTTAAACGCTTCAACAATTAGTGGAGAACGTGCTGGCACACTAGCAAAGCTTGCCCCCTGACAGGCCACCGCGGCTACAGCGAACAAGACCATTCTCAGTCTCCGACTTCTGTTTCCAGATCGTCCTGGGATCGCTTGAGAGACAAGTTCTATTTTAGGGAAATCAATGTATTGGGACTCATTTGACCATATCTTCGAAGGAAATTTCCGCGTACGTTTGGATCCGCTGCAGTTGCATTTTACTCTGGATTGTTCGCATATCAAGGATGGGCATATTTGAATACTGTCACAGAGGAGCTCATCAATCCAAGACGGTTGTTATTCCCATTATTATTATTATCATCATTATTCCCGATTATTCTTGTTAAGAAACCGAATGGGGCCCTTCTGGAATTCAACTAGAGATTGAAGGCGCAGTCCACGTTCATATAATGGGCGGAGACGAGGGCTGATATACCTTAGACCTTTACCTTCCTCGCTGGCTTGCCCCTCGTTTGTCCCATCTTGAAGAATGTGATTTCAGAGGCACACTTCGCACAAGATCGTCATCGGGCGACTGTTGTAGCTTCGTTGAGACAACTGTTTTTTTAGCGTTCAAACAGAAGCATAACACTGAGAAAGGTGCACTGTACGCTAGACCCGGCTCCTTCGATGAGCGTGGAACGGTCCTTGGAAAGCATCTACCACGATAGCAATAGCGAGGGTCAAGGGTCTGGGTATGTCTTCGTGGGTCCTCATGAATCAGTGAGTTAAGAGAAAAGCAAAGGAAGCCGTCGGGAACGCTCAGCAGTAAACACTGAGTGCTTGGAAGAGACGAGGCGACAAAGGCGAGAGAAACTACACAGACGAGGAAGACCACTGATCTCAATGCAGCATTGCCACGTGGATCAGGTATCGCTCTGATTTGGCTTGAAAAACTTCTAACGCCAAATCTCTAGCATCCTTGGTACTCGCTGTCAAGTAGTTACTTCTCAGCTAAACGTGGACCATGCCTATAGATCTTACATTTGTTCCAATTAGCATAAAGGTACAGTCGTTCTCGTTGCAGACGCTGGGCTTGAAAAGGGCTATGTTTCGAGCAGCCCCTGCCCATTCACCAATTTTCGAAGCGGGCCAGCAACAACAATTGGTAGAGAATGGTGGCTAGGCCGCACCAAACTCAGCCCCTTACATGCCCCACCGTCTGCAACGAAAACGTCTGTAACTATACAGTATTACATGGTTTGACATACCCTCTTAGATATCAATGCCTGTTTAGAAATTTACCTCTGGCATTTTTGATTTCAATGATAATAGTCACTGTGGTCTATGTTCTCTACAATATTGCTTTGTATGTTGTCCTTTCTCCTGATGAAATTATTTTGCATCCAGCTGCTTCTGTGGTATGTTTTCCAATTGATTCCCACAGCTTTTGCCGTCATGATCGGCAATCGGTAGGGCGTATGTGGACGTGGCTTGGAGCACTTTCCCACCCATTGTAGTAGAGTCAGGATGACATCACTCGTGGAATTATCCACGCCGTATCACATGCCCTATCGTTTGCAGGGATCATGACTGTATGCTATTCGTCATTCGTCAAGGCAGAGAAAAGAGGCTGGAGCGTAGCGAGTGCATCAGGGATGCCGAGTTCCCACAGCGAACAACATGAACGGTAGGTTGTCCGTCTCGGTCAAGAGTAGAGAACAACCAAACGGGAGGGCACAGGCAAGCAGCGCGTTCAGCTGTAGTCAGGCTTATGCCTGGGCGTGCGACGTTGCGTTCGCGTGCTCACCTGTGAAAGAGTAGGAACGACATCTGGCTATCACTACTCTCCAGCTCATTTTCAAGAGATAGTGACAACGCAATCGTAAGATGTCGCGCTAGGCGTCGCGAGCGACGCCGCGTACACGGGATACTTATTTTCCTACAGAGGCGTTTAAATCTGGACGTTGAAGAAAAGAAAGTGGTCTGTATCACGCTAGACCCCCCC